GCACATGATTCAAAATGCTTTAATGATCATCAGCCTCTGTTACTCCTAATCTACCTTTAAAGAACAAAGTTTTAGACCTAGTTACATCAAGTCTCTTTAAAACTTTGCAGTTGGAAGGAACTGGCAATCCATATCTATTATTTTGGTTACAAAAGAATGACCCTCCACAACTCCCTCCACCCAGTATTGTTAACAGACAATGCATATGCCCTCTGTATATACGTAAGTTATTGAGTAACTCTTCTTAAATATTTACCTCTCTGGCTAATTGTCTCAGAGGAATGCTGACCATTTTCTGTTTCCTTTCTGTGATCAAGTTGACAAACCTGCATGCAGGTTACAGAAAAGATAAATGACCGTCAAGAGCTGCAGATAAACTTGAAACCCCAGAGACAAATCCCAAACATGCTGTACACCACTATGGTTCCAGAGATGCAAAGTGAAATTAGATGGATGAATAATGCCGTCCAGGTCTCTCTCTCACAGCACACAGGCCTTCACAGCCCTACCTGACAAGAGCCAGCCCGTAAGAGAGGATGAGCTCATGTGACTTCAATCTTCCAGATGAATCCAGGACCTTGCAACGAATCAGTTCTGCAGTGCAATCCACTGCAAGAGGCATTTTGGGACCATACCTAGAGATAAATGAAAAACAGATGAGCAGTCTCACAATATACTCCCTCTGCAAAAAAAACCCCGTGACTTTCCAGCTACTTTTTGTGCTCCATGGTACATAACAGCCTGAGAAAAGGTATGCAGAAAGACAGCATCAAAAGCTCTTTCCAAAAGGCTTTTATTTGTTACAGTGATTATGTGGGTACTCTTAAACATGTGTTGAGTACTTACCGATGTGCTAAACACATACACAATGTAAGACCCCATATCTACACTGGCCTTGTGGATGGATACAGCAGGGGCAACACAAACACAATAAGGTGATGTGGGGTCCTTGGGTTTGCTCACTGCAGCGCTCTGCCTCCAGAAACCATTCTGGGACGCTGTGGGCCTGCAGGCCTCCTGCCCACCCTGCTGCCCACGGGGCCAGCCTATCCCTCCGGCATGAGGAGCTCCCTGCCCGGACCCTTCCGGCGTAAACAAGGCGCCCGGCAAGACGGAGCGGCCTGCCCGTCAGTACCGGCGACCCGCACGCACAACCCCGGCCGCGGAGCAGCACCGGGGAGCTGCGGCCGGGCCCCGGGCGTCCTGTGGGCCCATGGCAGAGGGCGGCCGCTCCGCTTGGGGCGGAGGCCCGGCGGGGCCGCCGGAGGAAGCGGCCTAGCAGGCAGCGCCGGCCCGCGGCCCGCTCCCCGCCCGCCGTGCGCGGCCCGTACCGACTCTTCCAGGCCGAGACCCGGTCCAGCGCTTCCTGCTGCAGCCGGCTGTCCCCGCAGTACAGCCCCACCATCACCTGGTCCCACTCCGCCCTGCCCCTCCACGCCACTACGGTCCGCAGCGGCTTGAGCTGCTTGCGGGCCGGGGACGCACACCGCCGGCCGCGACCCCAGCCCGGCTCCCTGCGGCCCGCCATGCCGCCGCCGCTCCCTCCGCGCATGCGCCGAGCTGCCGCTTCCGGGGCGGACTGCGGGGCCGCACGACACGCGTGGGGACGCGCGTCCGTGCCCGGGGGCTGGGGCGCGGCGGACCGGTGTGGCGGCGTCTCTTGCGCGGTGGTTTGTTGCAAGGGCCTGTGGTCCACGGGAGAAAGGGGCTTGGGGTGGCCTGAGGCCGGTGCAGAGCAGACGCGTTCTCCCCTCAGGCGGCGGCGGGGCGCTGGGGGGCGGTGGGGAGGGAGCAGTGTGAGTCAGGACTGGGTGGGATGCAAAACACAGTCCCCGCGGCAAGAGGTGACGGTGATACCTGTGAACTAGGATTATTAGAAAACAGATGTTTGTGGAATAGAATTATTAAAATCAATTTAAGCTGTTTTAACCGTGGTGCTGCAGAACAAATACTAATCTTTTGAAGAATACTTAGAATAACGGTAGGATAAGGAACTCCTAGGTTACTTGAGACAATTCGACCTTGTAGTAGCAGGTGCAAAGAAACATAAAGATAGGGAAGATGCAAATTAGCAACAAAACCAGACTAGGCCAGCCCTGAAGGACAAGATCTACATGACCACAGGACTGAGTTTGTGCAGAAGTAAGGGTCAACTGGCGGACGCAGTGAAGACGACTACGAGCTTCATCTAAACAGCCCCAACGACCACCTGAAGGCTCCCAACAGATGTGCACAAGAGACATTAACATATGCTAATGAGTTCCCGGAAGAGTTATGAACATGATAAAAATGTAATGAATATGTAGGATTAAGGTAGCATAAATGCTTGTTGATTTTGTCTTCACACAGACATTAGGAGGAGATACCCCCTGTGTGTCCAGTGCTGTAATAAAGAATGCCTGCTTTCTAAAACTCCAAAACAGAGAGTGAATTAATTACCACTTTCCGGTAACGAAGGGAATTGGGTAATGTAGGGCTTCAGGCTGGATCTGCGTGACCTCGCTGAACTGGGTGCTCTTGGGAAGAGGGGGCCTGCTGTGGGCTTAAAGGGAGAGGGAGGAGGCCGCTCTCCTGACCAGAGCAACATCAGATGCTTCCAGTGTCCCTGACCTTCCAGCCTCGGCTCTGTGTATTCGTACTTGCACAAGACTCAACTGCTCTTCTTTCTAGTTGCACCAATCTGCAGGGTTTTGCAGTAGGCTGAATCTATAAATGATGCAGGCTATAAATCACCTTATTTTGGGGGGATTTTTTTTAAAACTTCTCTTTTTACCAATCTGTTTGCATAATCCCAGGAATACACTTGTGTTAGAGGTGAGAGGGGAGGTAGAACTGAAACATGGGATGGGAAAAAAGCACTGGAGGAAGTCCACAGAGACTACTTACACTGGTTTTGCTAGCAGAAAAGTTAAGCCTGTAGGTCGTGGTGCTATCTCCTAGCACTTAAAGAGCCTTGGTCTTTCCCCAAGGCTGTCAGAACTTTAGGACAGCTTAAGCTTTTTTGTGCAATATTCTGATGCAAGATTTTGTTTGCAAAACTGTTAGTCATCCTCAACAGCTTTTTATGAACATTCTCTGAATAAATGCTTGTACTGGAAAGCTAAAACTCCTTTTATATTCTAGCACAAATGCAGTTAACAAAACCCCCTACCCATCCACCCAAATTTAGACTAACATGAGTATGCCTGAGTGCATAGTTGTGACCACATGCATCTGAATGTGAGCGAATGGGGAAAAAATTACAGAACTTCTGCCCTGAATATTTACTTTATTACATACTGAAGATTATGGGAAAGAAATGCTGAATGAGTTCTGTTAAAATACAATCTTTGAAAAATGCCTCAGTTCATTTATAGCTTTGGTCCCATTCCCCTCTACACCTCCCCAGAAAAGTTTACCTTGTTCTTTGGTGTTAATAACTGTACGCCAAATTGAAATGAGTTTATTCAAAAGAAGTGTAAGGTTGAGGGAACAGATTTGACATTCATTGCCAAACTCCCGCAGCGCTTCATGCAATGAAAGTGAATTCTCAAAAGATATGAGGCAGGGAGAAAATTTGGAATAGGGCCCTGTTCTCTGGAAATGGAGTTGCACTTTTCATCTGCTTAAAAAATGTTCTGAAAGGACAAGCTGTTTACTGCGATCAAAGGGTCTTATTCAGAGCATAGGAACACCATGTGTCATTTTGCTTGCCAGATTATTTCTGGGTTTCAGAAATCAACTGCAGTGCAAAGGTTGTAAAAAACAAATCCTGCAGTGCTGTGGAATAGATAGGATACATCAAACTTGATCAGAACTCCTGCTTCCAGAGCCTCAGAGGTGTATCAGAAGTTAAATTAAAGGAGTATTTTTCATTCTTACTGTCTGTGGTGAGGGAGAAAGATCTGAAGAGTTTGGTATCTGTTATAGAGATGGAAGGGAGCAAGGACTGAGCCAGCATAGATTTCACACGTTTCATGTGCTTTCAGAGTCTGGATCTAAGGGAAATTATGCTTGTGCTGTTACTCTGCTTGTGATGTCTGGCTACAAGGTTGCTCAGTACAGAACTGGGAGGTAATGGGCAAAGATGACTTGTTGCCCAGAATGTCCCACACCAAATTGGCAGAAATTTGCCATTCTAGTTTCTGCAGCCTTTCTGTCATGTTGGCTGAGACAAGAGGCCAGGGTTGTTTGTGGTGTCCCTGAGGTAGTTTGGGAATCTGGACGGTTAGGGTGAGTGAGGTTACTTGCACCTGCAGAAGTGCCAATGAGGAGTGAAGAACCAGACTGCTATGTAGGTGAAAGGCCTAAATGGAAAACCTATTTTGTAAAAGAAAGGAGATTTCAGTGTGTCAGGGCAATATAGGTAGTGGATTAAAAAGAAAATTCCATCAGGTAAACTGTGATAATATTTCCTCTAAAGAGACATGACTTTGCTTTCTATTTCTGTAAGTGAAAAGGATGCCTCCAGAGGCTTCCTGAACAGTCTTTCTCTTACTGGGAATAAGGAAATTCCTTTCCCTACTTTCCAGAGAGTTTGAAGTAAGCAGAGGTGATACCTAGAAATGGTCTTGGAATGTCAGCTGAAAGGAAATTTCACACACAGCATGCCTTTCTTGACTGGGATTAACAACTCTGTGCCAACCTTCTTCCTGGAGTAATCAATGACAAAAAATGGCATTTAAAATCAGTGGGTGCAAAAGGTTAAGCTTTGGGTCATCCAGAAATGAAGAAAAAGCTCTTTAAACCAAAAAAGGAGAGTGTGTGATGAGATGATGGGAGATCAGGTATTTTTTTTGTTTGTTTGCTTGCTTCTCTTGTTTTCTATATTATTTTTTAACTCAAACTTGAATAAGGCACAGCTGAGAAAGAACAATGCTCTGTCTGCCTTTCTGTGGCTTGATAGTTTAATCTCTAATAGGTCCCAAGACATTTGAGCTGCATGTATTTCGCAAACACCATGGCCCTTTGGGATTGTTAGCAGAGCAGTGGGTGGCAGAGTAGTCAGAGCATATCTGGCCCGGCAGTTGTTGCCTTCTTGTTTGAGTGTTATTCCCTGGAGTGGGGAGAGCGACTGCTGATAGGGCAGAGAACAAGGGAGAGGGGCCTCTGCATCTTTTCAGTGCTATTGGCTGGTTTTGTTTTCTGGCATCTACGAGACTTGAGCTTTGGAGACTAGCCATCGAACATCCTGTTTTCACTGAATTTGTCTGTTCTTCCCAGTCTCTTCTCCTTTCTTCTGGTTGCAGAGTTGCTGCAATAGCACCAAGGTAAGAATATGAAATGGCACTTCTCGGCTCATTTCTCACATGGGGATTGTTATGTTTGAGCAAGAGGTATCTGGCATTCTAAGCAGATAAAGGCAAGTTTAGTTGAGATCTCAGGAATCAATGTGCTTTTTAGAGAGCTAGGCAACAGAGGCCAATAATGCAACTCCTGATTTACTGAGTGCTGAATTAGTCTAACTTGCTTAGAATCTTGCTGTGTAGATTCCTGTGCAGCAAGCCTGCATACTTTTAGTCCTTATGCGCAACCCTGCTCTCACTGAAGTTAGTGGATGTTTTAGGGTGAAGCTGCATCAAGCCTCACATATGTTGGGATTGGCAAGGACAGCAGATGAGCAGTAATTCTCTCATGCCATGTGCGTGTGACCAAGCTGCAGCTTTCAGCCTTTTCCAGTAAAACCGAATGAGATGCTGTATAGTTCTTTACTTCTGGGAATCTCTCCTTGTACAGGGCTTGTTTGGAAAGGTTTGGAAAGGTTTGTTGCAGAAGTGACCCGTAACTCCCATCCTCAGCACTTTCTGCAAAAAAGGGAGGAAGGACAACTGGAATTTCTGCATGTGTGGTCTTAGCACACTGAGCAGCCGTCTCTGGGTAAAAGAGTCCAAGCAAGAGAGATGGACAGTCTTGCTCTGTTACAAGAAGAGAAAGGCCAAAACTAGAAATGCAGGCCATAAGAAGGTTGGATGGAAATGTGTAGGAATGGAGGAGAGGAGCTGGGGGGGTACAGACAGTCAGGAGTGGATATGTGTGGGTGAAAGTCAGCCCTAATCACTTTTTCAAGAACATTCTGCCCCTATTCTGCACTTTTTTTACATGCTGTTGAGGCTACAGAGATCCTTGGTTTCCCTCCCTTCTTAGAATAATGTTCATAAAGCAGGGCTCAAGTTTCTCCCAGGTATGTTGGATTTTGAAGAGCAAAACAGTGGATGTATTACAGGAAATAAGCAACCAAACATGCTTTCCAATGCCAGAGGCCTTGGCAGCAGGTTCTGGTGCTTTTCTGAGATGTCAGCCAGCCCTGAAGGAGGAGGCAGTATGTTGTTCTGCGTTTCTATCTAGTCCAGGAATCCTGCATGTAGATTCCGGGTAATGAGCAACTTCCTGCAGAGGGAAGGGTGATTTGCCTCAGTGGGACTCTGTACAGGGAAGATTGAAGGAAAAAGCATTAACTCGGACAACCTAAATGTTCCCACCAGGCAGCAGGGTCTCTTGTGAAACTTGTTATACCAGGCTCAACACATGAGATTATGTTTAAAGACTCGTTCGGGGAATAAATTCTTGATGACTGGTTTACCTCTTTGGCACATGGAGGTCTCTTCAAGAAACTGCCTGTGAAGAAAGAAACTGGGGGGGGGAGATGGAAGAACTAGACAGAGGGAGGGACAGTGGAAGGAATGCCTTGGGAATGAGAAATTTATCTCAGATGAGTTTATTGCAGTGATTATCTGCAGTATATGAAGAAATGTGGTGAAACAGACTCAGGACTGTGGGCTCAGTCTCCATGGGGAGAAACTGAGAGGGAGAGCAATGCAAACCAGATATTTTTCATTTTGTTTGATGCATCTCCTGAAAAGTGCTTAGACAATATGACCATGGAGTAGGATCTAGGAACAGGCACTGAACATGATGGAGAATGGCAGGAGTGCCTTCCTCCCTATAGGAGAAAGAGGTTTCAGGTACAAAATGTGCTTTAAAAGAAAGCACCAGAATGAGGTACCCTAGGAAACCCTCCTGTTTCAAAACTTGCTTTACTTTTCTTCTTTTAATTTGTGTTCTCTTTTTGATTGAAGATAAACAAGAGCCTATGAGGACTTGCACCTCCCTCACAGATGGAAGGCTCCAAGGAAAAAATCATCCTGAATATTGGGGGAGTCAGATATGAGACATACAGCAGCACCCTCCGGACCTTCCCAGGGACCAAGCTGTACAGCCTAACAGAGCCCCATGCCCCAAGCATCTATGACTATGATCCTACCACCAAGGAGTTCTTTTTTGATAGGAGTGCTGAGATCTTCTGCTATGTGTTGAACTATTATAGGACCAAACATTTCCACTGCCCCATTGATACCTGTAGGTCAGTCTTAGAAGAAGAGCTGGCTTTCTGGGAAATAAATGAGACACAGCTATCATCCTGCTGCTGGCTGAAGCTGAATAACAAAGAGGTGCAGCCAGAGGAGTTTAACATTTGGGATGAAAATGAACAGACTGATGAGCAATGCCTCTTAGTCCAGACAGAAAGAAGGGATTTCAGCTGGCGAACCAGGTGGCAGCCAAAGATTTGGTCTACATTTGAAAAGCCGTTTTCCTCTTTTGGTGCTAAGGTAACACTATATGTGGAGATGGACAAAGCCTTTGGGATTACTGGAATGAGTCCATGAAAAATGCTAATGGGTTCATAGCTTTGAGAAGTATGCTTTGAGTCCCAGAGTAAAAAAGAAAATAAAATTCTCTCTTCTCGTTAAGAGACACCTCCTTCTTCTGTCCTCCTCTTGTCCCTGTTCTCTGTACAAAATGCATGCCCTGTGCTGCTTTTAAATGTCAGGCATGCGGAGCAGCAAATGAAAGTCAGGGACTGCAGAGGATATTTTCTATGCTGCTGGCATTTCTGGAGCCAACATTCAGTGCTGAAGAGGCCCTCAATGTGAGTCTGTCCGCATTACTCCAGCTGTCCGACATTTCCCCTTCCTTACAAACTCTGATACAGGAGTTCAGGTGGTTTTTTTTTGACTCCTGTCTTCTCTATTATTTTTCAAATCAGGAAGGAGAAAATCCACTCCATGTAAGCAAATCAATGGTGATTTGAGAAAGATTAGTCTGGGATTGTACTGTGCCTGTGGAGGGGATCCTGGGGTTGTGGTGGGGACAGTGAGGTTATGCGATACTTGTTTGTTGCACTAACTGCACGTGTGTCTTTTCCTCCCTCTGCAGTGTTTGGCTTTTGTTTCTCTGCTGTTCAACGTTGGAATTGTCATCATATTCTGTGAGGAGACCAAGGCACAATTTGAGTTCTTTACTGCTAACTTCACCTCTGTTGGCTATTCTGAGGACTCCCACAACGACCATGAACCCTATTACCACCAGGCTGCCTACTTGCTTCATCTGGAACTTTTGTGTGTCCTCTGGTTTACTTTTGAGTTCTCTGTGCGATTTTGTTTCTGCCCAGACAAGAAATTGTTCTTCCAAAATCCCCTAAACGTGGTTGACTTCCTCTCCCTCTTCCCAGTTTATATTGAACTCTTTGTGGCTGGGCAGATTCAGAGAATGCCAAGCCTGGGACTTTGGTTGGGCTTTGTTCGCATTGTCTATCTCCTCAAACTCCTGAAGATATCCAAGCTGATAGAAACACCACTGATCCTCAGGGTTCTGTGCTACACCCTCAAGTCTATCCTTAGAGAGATTTGCATCCTGTTGATGATTTTGGCCTTTGAGACCCTCTTCTTTGGCTCCCTCTTTTTCTATGGGGAGTTGTTGTGTAGCCATCCCTCCTACAGAGGTGATCTACACCTCGCTGACATTCTTGTTTGCTTCTGGTGGGCTTTGATCACACTCACTACAGTGGGCTACGGAGATATTATCCCTCTCACCACATTTGGCCAAGTGACAGCAGCCTTAGCTGCAGTATTTGGCATGTTAACTATTATCATCCCAATACCCATTTTTCTGGTGAAATTTAAAAGCTATTACAACATTGCTATCTTTAAACAGAAGCTCAAAAGGAACAAGAAACACTAATGCTTCAGAACTTCTGTTCCCATTTGCCTTTAGCAATAGACCTTCAGCATGTTCTTTTCTCTTTGGTGGAAAGGGAGTGCAAATAGTTCTTACTGCATTTACTTGCTGCCTTAGCATATCGGTGAGGCCTCAGGTTGCAGTACTTGATATACAACTGATCAGACCTGTCAAATCCCATGAGTATATCCCATACTATACTTCATTCCATGCTCTTTTACATGTCACAGTTTCTCCCTCTCTCATCTAGCTGTTGGGAGACAGGCTGTGATGCTGCATTGTAGCCTGAATATGCACCACATAGCTGAGTTCCATGACCTGGGGTCCCTGCATATTCCCTCAGCTGTCATGCAACCCATGATGCTAGCTATGCCTTCCATTGCCTGACAGACCATTATCTCATTTTGCATGCTGGCAAATAAGGTTTGTGCACAGTCCTGCTCTGAAAGCAAGGAGGAAGCATGTTTTGGGTTTTTTTTTAAAACAATGTTGTTTCCTCATTTTACCCAAACAAGCCAGTACATCTGATTTGCCTGCATTCACATGCAGATGTAAAGAAGGCATCAGGCTGAACTGAATATCTGTGGTCCTGAGAACCAGCACCATTCGGTAACCTGCTTTGTGGGCTCACAGGAATTCACAGAATTATAGAATCATAGAATGGTTTGGGTTGGAAGAGACCTTAAAGACTATCTAGTTCCACCCCCTGCCATGGACAGGGACACCTCCCACTAGAGCAGCCCCATCCAACCTGGCCTTGAACCCTTCCAGGGAGGGGGCAGCCACAGCTTCTCTGGGGAACCTGTGCCTGTGTCTCGTCTCACCACCCTCACAGGGAAGAATTCCTTCCTAATATCTAATCTGAATCTACCCTCTTTGCTGTGGCATTTAGGTAGCAGCAAGGGAGCCCTCTGACAGCAAGTCCTTTTTGGCTCTGCTGAAGTCTATGGCAACCTTTCCTTGACTTCAGTGAGATCAAAATTTTATTGGATACTTTCAGCTGATCAACACATTTCAACAGTTCTTCATTTTTCTGTAACAAAGTTACCGAGCTATTAGCCAAAATATCTATATGGGTTTTGCTGTTCAAAAGGAAGAACATAAACTACAGTATTCAATAGCATTTTAATGTCATTTACTTTCTTAAGACATAGATGTAAACTATGAATATTTGTCTTTTAACTGGATAGTCTTAATTGTTACATATGTTTAATTTTGAAGTAACAAATACTGCTGAGGTATGAAAAAACACGTCCAATTGTTTATATAGCAGGATGATGTGCTAAGATTATTTTGTTTAGTAAGTAAAAATTTCTGTATACAATAACATTTATGTATTTGAATTTCATTAAGGCTGTATTTTAAATGCATTTTTTCTTAAGTTTTGTCTATCACTATGGTTTTTCTGTTCAGGGTAGCATTTTAAGACTGCTTTATTTATATTGAAAGACCAGGTAAGTTCCCTCTATTCCAGCGCAATTACAATGAATTACTTTCTGTCTAAAGAGAAAGAAAACATTTCAGGCACAAAGCATGTGAGAAGTTGGAGACACCCTGGCAGTGGAAGGAAGGTCCAGGTATTCTCCTGCACCCACTTTTGCTATGCATAGAGTAGAGGGGGTAAGCAGGGTAAAGCCACGCATGCTGGTGCATAGGAAGTTTTCTCAATTAGATCAAAGCGGTGCTGTGTTTTCTGTGGACATACCTAATCTTCTTGGAAATTCATATTAACTGCAACAGTTTAACAGAGATTTACCAGGACTGTTCTTGAGTCTTTCCTGGTCTGGGAAAGGATCCACGATATAATCATAGGCCATGACCCCATTTTAGGAATCCAAGTCAAATCGACTGGAACAATTACATCTTACTGGCTGTGAAGTTAGGAGGTGGTTCAGAATGGTGCAGTGCCTATTTCTGTGTTTAGCCAGGTCTGCTGGTATACATGCATTTTTCAGCACGGAGACAGATTTTCTGTGATTGAGGAGAGCAGCACTGTTGACCCCAGAAGAAGGTGCTCAATGCACATGACAGTCCCATTATGCACAGGAAGCATGATAGGAACATCAGAACAGGGTATTACACCGCTCTCTGTAACACAACTCCATTTAGAGCCAAATGTATGTTGCTGTCACATCAGCTAGTGTCCACTCCTGTTTGTCATAAAACCAGCAGTTACAGCAACAATGTTAAGTCAATGTTGATGTGACAGAGGAACTGTAGTTCCTCTGGATGAAAGGATCTCACCCTGGTGAGAAGTCAGTACTAATTTTATCAGGGGAAGAATATGTATTCTAAGCTCAAAAAACCTTCATGGAGTTGGTGGCAAGAAGAATTGATTAGATTGATAGTAGATCAATAGTTGTTCAGTTAAAGATCAGTATATGGAAGATCATCATCCGTGAAGTGTTGCCAAGCTTTAGTTGGATTTCAATGCCTTGCTCATGATCTTCGTTATGTAGATGTTATGATATCCTTGGGGAGATAGTCTCATTTTCTGAGAGGCAGAGTGCTATATATGTGAGGAAAACAGTGACTTAAAAAATACACTTAACTTAGAAAACAGTGCAATGAATGATATAATTGACTTCAGAGAATAATCATCCAGACAAGTTCCAAAGTGCCAAAGACAGAAATATATTAGCTACATGCTGGAGTTGCCTCTTTTGAGATTTGTCCAGTCACCAAAAGATACTGTGGAAAAATAGCTTTCTGTATATTAATAATATATAAATCATAAAACTGTCTCCACTCTAGGGTTAGGGATTTGAAGGCTTGGAGAACAGATACCTCAGAGCCGAAAATAAGATTAGTGGTTTTCAAAAACCTATTTAAGATATAGCTGTCATTTATGAAAACACCAGAAGGCAACTGTGTTGAAATGGAAGGACATAGATCACAGGCTGTTCCGCAGGAAACTCTAAAGTGCTTGTGACTTCCCTAATCCTTAGGGTGTGTTTCACATATGCCTCAAAGCAAAGAGAAGTTACTCCAAGATAGAGGTGTTGCCCAGATAGATGGTCCTGTTATTTGTCCAGCCCATTTTCACAAGGTCAGCTGGATCACTTGAATGTTAACAGAAAGTGTTTCCTATGGTATGTTTTCAAAGTTTAATACCTCCTGTTGTCTGCCTTCACCCCAAACTAGATACATGCCTAAGCTGTGGCATTTCTGAGCATATGTATGGATGCAGGACAAATTCAGCTCCAGCAGCGAGGAGTGGCTGCATCACCCCAGTTTCACTGACACCAGTGGGTGGAACTCTCCTGGCAGACAGAACTAGGGTGTCTGCTCTTGAATCCAGGCTCCTTTGGGCCTTCAGACATCCTCAGTCTGGGCCTCTGAGGGTATCAGAGTCTCTGTGGTCAGAAAAGCAAGGGTCTAGCTTGCTCTCAAGACCATCTTGAGGATTTGTACCTGAAAAGTCGCCTCAGCCCACACCCTAGAGTAGAATAAACAGGGACAGCCTGAGCAGTCAGCATCTTGGCCAAATTCTTCTCCTTGTGTAGAACAAGCAGACAGGAAACACTTTTGCCATGTTGCTAATTGCTAATAGCACATCTGAGCACATTGCAGACAATTTGATCACATGCTACATAGCTTGTCTGGGGCCGGTCAATGACGTGTGTTATGGTGGTGGGTTAACCCTGCAGCCAGATGCCCATGCAGCTACTTTCTCACTCCCCTCCTCAACAGGATGGGGAGAGAAAATAATATGGAAACGCTTGTCGGACAAGGTAAGGGGAGATCACTTATCAATTACCATCACAGGCAAAATAGACTTGACCTGGGGAAAATTAAATTACTGCCAATTAAAATAGATTCAGATAGTGAGAAACAAAACCAAAAATTAAACCAACACCTTCCCCTTCCCATTTTTTTCTGGGCTCAATTTCACGTCTTCACTCTTCTACCCCTTCCCACCACCAGCTTGGCTGACAGGATCAGCTGTGCCCAGTGGTGGGTCACTGGAACCAGCTGGCACTGCCTGTGTCTGGCACAGGGCAGCCCCCAGCCTCCTCCCCCGGAGGACCCCCTGCAGCCCCTCGCTACCGGCACCTTGCGATCTGCACCCAGCGCAGTTGTGTCGCCAAGTACGTGCACCCCCGTCCCAAGGCCATGGGGCAAGACACTCTCCGAGCCCTACAGAGCTGGAGCGGCTGCATGAAGACAGGGGGAAGAAGTCACGCTCCCACGTGAAGGTAAACACAAGGATGAAACAAGCCCTAATGCACAATTTCATCTGCCACATACTGAGTGCAGCGATCTCAGCCTTCAGCGATGAGTCCTGGAGCTAGAAATCATGGAAGAGGTGATTTCCCAGCACAGGCTGTTCATGTTGGCCTGACTCCTGTGCTATCCCCCTTTTTCATACCTGGGCCATGGACACACAACCCTTACAGAGGGCATGGCAGGCTCTTCCTGAAAAGAGGGGAGAGGATACAAGCTTTGACAGCAGACTGTGAAAAAGCCTGTAGCAGATTTCAGTATTGAGAAGGCTGGTATTCACAGTAGAGAGCAAGAGACACTGGTAGCATTTTACATCAGTGCACTGCTCCCACCCAGACCTTCAACTTCCCAGTCACTAGAGCTTTAGACATTACAAGACATTCTTTGCTACAGTATTAACTACCCAAATTGGACTCAGGTAAGAGTCTTCCATGTACAGTTGAAGCAGGCTTTGTGAGGATTCCCACCCCAGATGGGATCCCAGCAGTTGGTAATGTGCTTTTATTTTGAATCAGAATAAAAAGTAAAAAACTGGGTATCTCTTAAGAATCAGATTGTCAGGATGCAGTGGGGACCAGTGGCTCCTGAAGGGTCAGGAAGCCAGGACTCACGCACAAAACCACAACTGCTAGAGCAGGGTCCTTGTCAGCCAGGACCCAGCTACACAGTACCAAGTGAGGTGAGGGGAATGGGGCAGACCCAGAGATGGCAGCCAGATTCAGCCAAGACTTATGATCATGAGGAAGATTTGTAGTGATAAAAAATGAATCTTCAGACCACGGTCAGAATCATGTCCAGTGACAGTTACCAGGGTTGCACAAACCACTGATCGCCAGTTAGGTCCAGAGTATAACAATCACTTTTAGAATACCAAACTGCCTCATTTTGTTTCAGTAAAACCACTTGATTGCAATAAAGATAAAACAAGAGAAAATGTCTATATGTGTTTAACATGCAAACACAGTACTCTATTAATATGGATGTAATATCCAAGATAAAAAGATGTAACGAGGAATTTTTAGCTCATCAAAAGCCTTCCATCTTTCTTGATCAGAAAGTTAAAAAAAAACTTTTCATATAATATCACAAGTTGGAAGGGACCCATAAGGATCATTGAGTCCAACTCCCCGCTCCTCACAGGACTACCTAAAAAAAATCATATGACAAGGAGCACTTCTGACCTCTGTCATGAAAATATCGGTAAAAAGAAGATGTTCCTGCAAAACAGTTTAGGCTTTCCCAGCAGAAAGTTCCCTTGCACATGCCGACCAGAGCTGCTAACTTGTGCTGACCTCTGAATTAGTATGAAATAGATACATCAACCCCTCCTTTCATGTTCCCAGTGCTCCCCAGTGTGGAAGAATGAGGAGTTGCTTGTCACTGGGAAATGCCAACACAGCTTCACACAGTGCAAAAGTGATGGGGAAAATGGGCCTGTTCTTGGGAATACAGCTTTGCCAAAGCAGATGAGAATCCCTTCCCCTCTCTAGACCACGCTTCTCTTTCTCGTGTGGAGCCTCTCAGCTGCAGATTTCCCAAGCAAGAGGAGTTCTGAGAGAAGTTGTGCTTTAGTGAGTAATAAGGGAAAAGCATTGCTGCCTGCTGGTGTTATCTGCCATAAGAGCAGTTTGTGGGACAATCCCCTGATGACTCCAGCGCACCCCAAAAAAGGAAGATAATGAGGCTTATCCATCCTTATGACTTGCTCCTTTGGCCCTGCTGGGGAGCTGGTAACTGTAGCCTCTGGTCAGCTTTCTGTCTCTTTTGCAGTGCTTGGATAGGAGTAGGGAGTCAGGTCTCAAGCCACAGATGATCTTGGAGTAGGTGAGAGAAAAGGCATGGGGATGGATTGTATTGGACTCCCAACATAATTTTTAGGTGAGTGGTATGCTTAACCAGCCATGTCATGCTCTTTGTGCTCAGTAGTCACTATCTTCCTAGGTTGCTACATTCAGCCCCAATACTTGTTTTCTTATCCTATTCCAAAATTCTTTTCTCTTTCATTTAAAAATAAAGTATTTAGCACGAATTGTCTCACAGTGGGTTAAGGACTAAGCTGTTTCTGAGGCCCTGTGTGATAAATAAATTCGTGGTCATGAG